CGGCGATCAGAAACACCACGTTGAACCATGGTAGTGTCATTCTGCAGATTAACTAGACGTTGATATTCGTTAGCAATATCATTTAGAGTAAGCTTAGGGTCTTGATCCAATCGACTGAGTAACCGTGTTCTAATGTCACCGAACTTTTGCGATTGGAGGCTGCAGATGAGAATGAGGGCCTTAAACTGATCTTCAGTTAGCGACTTCAACCGAAAGCGTTCGCATTCGCGGTTGACAATGCCCACATGCGTCAGAAAATCGGTGTCTTCGTTCATAGTCAGCTTCAAACATCGATAGCGTGTGTTGAACAGTGAGGAATTATCTCCGAATTGTTGGCTCAATGACTGAACAGTGTCTGAAAATGAGCGATCGCGTGGGTTTAGAGGCAAAATCAGGTTACAATATTTATCAAGTTCACTAGGACCCAGCTTTCGAAGCAGCAAACGGACTTTCCAAGCATCATCTTGATTGGCAAAATCAAATTTGAATAAATCTTCATACCGTCGGAACCACATATCAAACGTAACATTCGATTCAGGATCGTAATGAAACTCAGAAATACTGCTGGCAATACCATCAACTGAAGGAGCAGTAGTCGTAGGATTAGAGCTGCTTGATTGGCTATTGGTCGTTATTTTTGTTTCTGTTAGCATCTTGATAAGTGTCATCTGCTGTTCGAGCAATAATTCCACTTTTGCAGGATCCATATTTCCAAATCACCGTCGCCAATTGATATGTCGGAAGCGTTACGAATTCACTAGTAACGAACGGAACAAAGACACGTGACCAGAGACCGATAACTAGCTATACTGACGCGACCCAGACCCAGCTACTAGAGTAAGAAGTCCAAGTTGGAGCGGGGAAGTTATATTCCGTAGCAGCCAGAAGCACAGTAATCAAATAAGGGGAAAAGTCAAGCGTATTTATACAGCAACAATTTGTCCTTGGGCATCATTAGTAAATAGCACACATAAAGAAGCAATGGACCAATAGCGTTTAAGATAGTTTACAAGTGGGAAATATGACGTGAAGGTAAAAGAGCGCTTTTTGGCGCGAAAACAGCTAAATTCAAATTTTCAAAATAAAATTACAAGATTAAACCATTTACCAAGTAAGTTCTAGGGATTTAACATCCCTAACACGGACCCAAGCAGTTAGTTTTCTTAAACAGCCACTCCCCGAGTCTTAGACATATAGGTCTAGTTCACAAGGCAGTGAAGCAATGTTAGGAGATGCAGTCCCATGGATGCCAGTGACCAACAATAGGTTCATACGCATTATGTTCTTTTAGGATCCTGGAGGCCACGTGCACCATTGGTTGGGAATCAGGGTTTTTCAACTCCCCTAGGTGGATCCTCCATATCGACCAAAACGGTTTTTGCACCGGACATTCGCTTTTCGTCCTCTCAATTTCGTAAACAACACCCCTGCCACGAGAAGGCAGAGAGTAGGACTTTCCTGACAGTGGCTGTATACACGTGACCATGTGAGGGCAATTCGAGGAGAGCGGACTCTCTTCACCCTAGGCCTTACCAGGGCATTTGGAGACCTATTTTTATTTGATCAAACAGGCAGTGGTGTTATTAACTTCTATATAAATTGTAACTTAAAACTGAGTATAGATAAGTATTTACATACTTGGTGAATGAGTTACATCAAATTAAAATAATATCAATTGAACTGATGAGTCGAAGATATAGAATGCAACAATATGGGCCAATTACCTGTTACAATTTAATCTTCTTCCCATGATTTCGAGTCTTGCATACAAGTGGTATGGAACAACTTTGTACAGCCGTTTATTTATAATGTTACTTTTTCATATAGGAATATTAAATTACTCTAATTTAAAATCTAATAAACTAGTGGTTAAATAGATATACAAGGAAGGTATTTAACTTCTCTGTACTTTTCAACGACCTACATTGACTATATATTGAAGTCTAACTTCAAATATTGTTTTAATATCTAATATGAATACAGATTAAGCGATAACTGACGAATGTTTCAGGCAAGATAATCTCCTAACATCTTTAGCCAAACTGGAAAGATGAACACATCATTTATTAGCTGAACATTTGAGAGCACAGACATGCTTATCGGCGTCAGACAATGATAGTTTTTCTTGACTTAAAAGCAGCATTTGACTCTGTAGACCGAGAGGTTCTGTGGCAGTGTCTGTCATTGAAAGGCGTGCCTCAGAAGTACATAAACCTTGTGAAGGCTCTTTACTCGAACACTACCAGTCGAGTGAGAGCTTATGGCGAACTGTCATATGATTTTACAACTTCAAGTGGTGTCCGTCAAGGTTGTCCACTATCCCCATTTTTGTTTAACTTCATTATAGACCTGTTGCTGGAAATAACACTCGTCGACTGAATTTTCAGGAATTGATCTCCTACCAGGGGGACCACTAAGCGACTTAGAATACGCAGATGACATAGTCCTGTTTGGTGAAGACGCTGGAAAAATGCAGAGTCTTCTGTTGGAACTGAGTAATAATGCCAGGATATTTGGGATGCGTTTCTCCCCACCCAAATGTAAATTGTTACTCCAGGACTGGCCTGCGTCAGCACCTGAACTAAGGATAGGGAGTGAAGTAGTCGAACGCGTGGACAACTTCACTTATCTTGGAAGTCTGATCAGTCCTAATGGGTTGGTGTCTGACGAAATCTCAGCACGGATTCAAAAAGCTCGTTTGGCTTTTGCCACCTTACGTCACCTATGGCGAAGACGAGATATCCGTCTATCAATTAAGGGACGAGTATACTGCGCAGCAGTTCGCTCTGTTCTACTTTACGGCTATGAAACATGGCCATTAAGAGTAGAAGATACTCGTAGGTTACTAGTATTTGACCACAGATGCCTTAGAAATATTGCTCGCATCTGCTGGGATAACCGGGTAAGTAATAGTGAGGTTAGACGCAGGGTATTAGGGAATGATGGTAAATCAGTTGATGAGGTGATGAATCTTCATCGACTGAGATGGTTGGGCCACGTGTTACGTATGCCTGAACATCGATTACCACGACGCGCAATGTTGACTAGTGTAGGGGATGGTTGGAAGAGAGTTAGGGGCGGCCAAACCAAAACATGGCATCAGTGCTTGAAGTCACTAACTTCTAGTCTGAGCCATGTTGGCAGATGCAGACTACCTGGTTGGGGTCCGCGTGACTATCGTAATAAATGGTTGGAGACTCTGTGTGACATGGCTCAGAATCGATAAAAATGGCGTAGGTGTATACACTCTTTATCTTCCCTTAAACCTTGAGATTAAAATTGCTTCATAACTTTTTTCCTTCCTATACTATATCCTTCCATACAACCTTTCTCTATATACTACCACCACTAAATTAATTACTTCTATGAATCCGGTGCTCATCTTGTTGTGCTAATGAGGTATGGCAACTTGGACCGATGCATATATGTGCCTGGTCCTACGTTGTCGCTGACTGACTGAACATTTGAGAATTAATTGTTGATACACAGTTTTATTTTACTCTGTATAAACCAAACATTGACATCATCCTATTAAATTTGTTAATGATGATTAGCATAATGTTGGAATTTAGAGGAGTGTTTGAGAATGTTTAGGATATGATCAAGAGACCAAAGCTATTCTTCAATATCACAGAGATTCATCATTCTTAAATTGCGTCCTCAACAGTCAGTTATAACTAACATAACATCTGGCACAAATCTGCATCAACGCAAGCTCCCACAATATATCAGCCTAATGAATAGAAACTACCAAATTACGTTGAGAATGCGTTTCGAAAAGAAATAAAAAGGTCTGTATGTAGGAATACTGAGGCTCAAGATCTAGGGAAAGGCTAGGAATGAATAAATGTGTCAGCCAAGTCTCTTAATGTCAATATTGTTCGATCGATTATTCCGCCAATTATGAGCAATTTTTTGAAGACAACTATCATTAAATACTAGTAACCTACGAATGTTTTCCTCTGTTAAAAATTAGATTACACAATCACGAAGTAGAACACCGGAGTGCTGCATTGTGTACCTGGATATTAGTAGAGACGGGCATCTCGCCTACACACCGAGTCAAGCACGTTGGAAAGATCCAAGCGAAACTTCTGGGTCCGCACCAAGGTCTCGTTAGACACCAAGCGATTAGGTTTGGTGAGACTTCTCAGACAAGTGCAATAGTCAAAACCCTTAACTACTTTGCTCAGTTTGATTGGTTAAACTGACACAGAACAGTCCTAAAGCAACAATTTGTTTACAGGGATACAAACATACCCTAAATATACTTGTATTATTACTCATTGCATTTATAGGACTGCAACTAGTCAGAGTCCTCACCAAATAGGGATGCACCATTTGTTTACTGTATATTGACGAGTGAATTTTGAAGGTTAGTACTTTAAACATCAGACGAATAGAACGTAATCTCTATGACAAAAGTAAATAAAAAGTAGGATAGTGGGCAGTCCTGATAAATACCCTCAAAGGTTGAGCACCACGGTGAGTTACCAGTAGAGGTCAGGGGAAATGCAAGGATTGATTTTCGAATAAGTTCAAAAACTTATATCTGACTTCAGCAATGGCCAAGTGAAAGTCGAGATCAACCAAATAAATATTTGCAGTAAAATTAAAGTTGAAAAGGGTAGTCGACCAATTATCATAAAACGAAACAAAATAACCTACTAAATGGACATTAGGAGACATTGAATATCAAATACACTAATTAGTAGCAAGTTTTACTTACAAGGCCAGAGTTTTGTACTTGATTTTAGGTGTTACTTTAACCTGTCTTATCTTAGGAAGACACTTGTGTTATATGATTTATCTATTTTCTTGTCAGAACTGTTAAGCGAATGTTGATATAAAACATTCTAAATAATTTGGAAATTGTGTCGGGATAAAACTCTAGTATGTATTTTAAGCAAAATCAACTGAGTCGTGAAATACGAGCTAGTTTAATATGACTTTTACGATATGATATTGAAACTTTCAGAACTAAATTGATCAAAACTTACCATCAACCCACTTTCATCAACTGAGGCTGGAACGTCAATGTTTCCAGATAAATGAGGTAAGAAAGCATTTAACTCTTCTCTAAGGCGTTTACCACAAAATTTTTGATAAGCATTCTCCAAACCATAATGTTCGATTAAGTTCTTGGCACCTGTGAGAGCAGCATCTGGAGCAGGAGGTTCCGTACCCATTAGGTAAAATGGTTCGCATGGTGCAACTGCCCAATTTTGTCCTCGCCCAACGATTTTCAATTTGTTAATCCAAGTAGCTGAGACTGTATTTCCAGTCTGAAGGTTAGACCCAGTGCCGTTAGCTGCAGAAAAAGCAGGAGAGGGATTCATGACACTTAAGCCGTGCAGAATCCACGAAGAGCTAAAAACCAAGAAAAATTAAGTTACCGTCATGTTTGGTAATTCGCACCCTTAGGAACTGAAATTGCAAAAAGTGGGATGTTCAGTAAAGTATGGGTTATTGGTAAACAATCGTTGCATACGTACCACAAATTAAAATGCTCACAAAAAACTATACAATTATACACAGGAACTTTTTTTACATCAAAATCAGAGTTCATAAAGTGGCATACACCTTTCAGTGTGACGACAAGACGCGCATGAATTGGCTACTTTAACTCAAATTCATTACATATATAAGAACGTAGTAAACTATGTTTTTGCACTATGGAAAGGTATTAAACTAAGATATTACTGAGTTAGGTTTATAATCCCTCCTATAATAAAGGAAATCAAGATCTGATGCAGTAATTTTTACTCAATAACTACGTCTACACACACCGTCTTTTAACAGCTCTTTAAGTTTCTCAGAGAAAACAACATATCAGTATATTGATATTATTTATTTATTTGGACACATAAATATTGGTACAAGTGGCACCAAAAATATATGCGCCACACAAAAAATTGTCACTTCATTTAATTGTGTGAGGGCTATGATACTAACCGGGTGCCCAGACCGAAGCAGGTGGTTTTCTTAAGGGGGCACACCCGGAGCCTTTGACCTTAAGGTCCGATCCACAAGGAATCATGGTTTTTCAACTCCCCTAGGTAGATCCTCCATATCAACCAGATCGGTTTTTGCACCGGGCATTCGCTTTTCGTCCTCTCAATTTCGTAAACAACACCCCTGCCACGAGGAGCCAGTGGATAGGACTTCCCTGACAGAGGCTGTGTACGCGTGGCCATGTGAGAGCATTTCGAGAGAGCGGACTCTCCCCACGCCCGGACGTACCAGGGCATTCGGGGGGTATATTGGTAGTGGTCGCTTGTCATCCTTCATGTGACTGGCTGACGAAAAAGCTTTTCGTTCACCTAACCTAACAAGTTTGGATTGTGGGTCACATTTAGTGCCTATATTGATTTTGTCTCAATATTAATAAAAACTTGGACCGAGGCACATATATCGCAGGATATAAGTTGCCTAAGAATTGAACACGAAGTATTATGGTCAACAAACATTTTATAGCGGATCCTAAAAGAACATAATGCGTATGAACCTATTGTTGGTCACTGGCTTCCATGGGACTGCATCTTCTAACATTGCTTCACTGACTTGTGAACTAGACCTGTATGTCAAAGACTCGGGGAGTGGCTGTTTAAGAAAACTAACTGCTTGGGTCCGGGCACCCGGGTAGTATTCTATCCCTAACATAACTAGAATGACAAAGTGTGGCGCATATGTATTTGGTGCCTCCTTGTGCCAATATCTATATGTTTGTATAAATAAACTAACGTACCGTACCTAACCAAACCAGAATTTTTAATGAAGTGAAAGCCCCCAAATGCCCTGGTAAGGCCTAGGGTGAAGAGAGTCCGCTCTCCTCGAATTGCCCTCACATGGTCACGTGTATACAGCCACTGTCAGGAAAGTCCTACTCTCTGCCTTCTCGTGGCAGGGGTGTTGTTTACGAAATTGAGAGGACGAAAAGCGAATGTCCGGTGCAAAAACCGTTTTGGTCGATATGGAGGATCCACCTAGGGGAGTTGAAAAACCCTGATTCCCAACCAATGGTGCACGTGGCCTCCAGGATCCTAAAAGAACATAATGCGTATGAACCTATTGTTGGTCACTGGCATCCATGGGACTGCATCTCCTAACATTGCTTCACTGCCTTGTGAACTAGACCTATATGTCTAAGACTCGGGGAGTGGCTGTTTAAGAAAACTAACTGCTTGGGTCCGGGAACCTGAGGAGTATTCCAGCCCTCACACAAATAGAATGACAAAGTGTGGCGCATATTTACCTGGTGCTTTTTTTTACCAATATTTATGTGTTTAAATAAAATAAAGAACTTCACACTGATGAGTACTGTTACACAACGGGGCATTGTGAAGCACAGATTCTATATCGCTATGCCAAGTAATACTATATTGTAGTTCATATTATTGGAAATATGCATTAGCATAAAAATTTCTATAGTTCAACGCCATCGAGGTCTTGCGAATATGCACGATTTGGATACTCAGGGGTTTTCACATGATGAGATAGAGTGGACAAGTGTTATTATTGCAGAAAAGGTAATATAAGTGCGATTTTGGCTCTGAACATTTCCTTTTAGTTCTTTTTCAGATCCTATCATCTGCTCTTTGCAATATAACTGTAAGTCTCAGCTATTGGGTAACAAATGCTGGATAAGTATTTTATCAAAACATTCATGACTAGTAACTGTTGTTCTGTTTTAGGACCCAAGTGATGAAAACGCTGCTTGTCAATGAAAACTCTGTTATTGTGAGAGTATTTTTTGTTAAATACATGTTTCTTAAACCCACGTCAAACTTCCAACTTTTGTCCAGTACGTTTAAACTAACTAGATATACTAGTAAACGTTGATGTGCATGAGTATCTCGTTCGAACTAAGAAACTTATTTCCACATGCGTATGTAAGCCTCTCACGAATTGTTTCTTAGGTTACTGCTAAAGACAACTTTTTCTGTCATCTGCAATGTGGACATTTCACCGCTTCTCTCGTGCAAACGATTATTAGAGCTGTAAATGTAAAAACTGTCCTCATTTAAACCAATATGTTGAGTATTGTCGAGCACGCATATAATCTGTTTGGCATAAGGAATTTAAAGCGGACTTCCAAAGTATACAGTATACCAATACACCAAATTTTGTTGCAAAACAACCATTTTGCTTGGTAATTTTGCGAAGCATTTAACAGTTTGGTGTTAGTTTTGAGGAAAAGTAAACAATTCGGTGCAAATTTTGACGAAACGTAGATATTTTGGGGGAGGTGAGAGTAGTGATTTTGAGACGTTTCCACTTAATGTGGGAAATATTGAGGAAAACGCGCGCAATTTACCCCGTCTTGAGGAAAAAGGCGATATCTTGGTGCATGTCACCAATATTCACACCGACTTCCCTTACGGATGATCCCTGAAATTTTCATCTCTTCTGTTAGTTTGTGATTTGAAAGATCTTTTTCACCCCAATATATCTACAGATTCGCCCTACACCGAGACACTTCCCCAAAACTCGAACTGTCTTCGGGGTAAAGTGAAATTTCGCACAAAATTAACACTTATTTGCAGCCGACCGGCTGTTTGGGTAAGTTGTTAATCAGGTAACGCCAAACGTCGCAGAACCTCGTTTTCTATTTCATAAACCCAGTGTGTAATACAATATTTTGACCGTTCTACATGTTTAGCTCTATGAAATATTTACTGGAATACATAGATGTTGAAACAATCACTTAGACCTTGATTCTACGTACTGAAAACACTGTTAATTTTCAGATCTACTTAGAACCATTTTTTTCTATATGGGGTTATGTTTTGGTACTCATAGGCACAAACAGTGACAAAAACCCACCACTTCTTAACAAATTTCGATCAGCAAGTTTTTTTCCGCCCTATGTGACCTTAGTTGTTGACACTGTCAAAGATATCCGAATTCAATATGCGTTACAGGTGGCCACCTGGTGTTTCCGTGTATTCAAATGGTTGAAATGGTTATGGATGAAATCTAGCAAGCTTTTGCTTGGCAGGCTTTTTTATTTAGTATCAGTGGATGTTGTCAGGTACTAACCTAGGTGTATTTAACCATAAAAGAGAAGACATCTTTAGCGAATTATAGTGAGATACTGTCCTTGGGACTTGAGAATATGACGAGTTTTCTCTAAAATGATTCCTTGCAAGTCGTTTGGATTAGCTCAAGTGGCAGCGAATACCAGAACTGGACTACTCATAAAGGTTAAGAGGTGTGTCTGCAGTCTGTTCGGTTCTGTTTTGTCTCAAATATCTGGGTATTCCCCCTGAGGCTTGAGTTGAAACTGGGCTTACGTGGGTACTTAAGGGGATGCCCAGGAGTTTCTAAAATGCTATGAGTAATAAGAATATCATCTCTAATAGACAAAGGTTCAGTGATTTGATGCGTTCTTCATAAGGCTTGAATTTGAGTCGCCTGAACTGATTTCGTGGCTCACTTTGAATACGTTCCAACACATACTCACCCCTCTCAAGTGAGAGAGGAAATTTTGTATTCCGACAACTCAAAATGAGATTGAATAAGACTGCTGCAGATCAAGTACAAAGTCCTGTTGTTGAAGTGGCCAAAAATACGCTTCAATGTTGACGGTGCAACATTTGTTCGAAAGGTATTTTTGTCGCACTTAGTGCACGACGTACGATTATAGAGTGACGACACTCCAAAATACTCTTGAACTTAGAAGACTGTGATATTTTAACAAAATAATGGCTCCAGGAGAAAGGAGTATACATATGTCTACTGCATTATAGAGTTGCTAAACATTCTGTGACGAAAAACACTCTATCATAGTTATCAAAATGAACGATTCTCAGTTCAATTATGAGGTGTTTGGAGTCCACAAACTATACATGTTATCGTATGAATGGTCTTCGATCGGACACGGGGGTTGTGATGAAGAATCACTATTTCGGTTTTTTAATTCTAGTATCAACGAATACATTCTAGATCATACATAGTCTATATCCAATACACAGTCGAACAGATACAGGATGAACCTAAGGAGAAAAAATTTTGGATTCTCATTTAAGCTGCTGCGATTATGGTATTTGTAAGAACTAATTATTCTTTGGTAGTCCATTATTTTGAGACCTATTGGATCATACGATGTTGTCGACGGGCTAGCCATTTTAGTGACCCGATATCTCCGTTTAAATCGCATGATTGATATTAAAATACACACGTTGCCAATCCTCGTTCATAATCATCGACTTAACTCGCGTTAGTGTGTAATGGAATTAAATAAATCAGTCTTTAGGGAAGTTGACCTCAGGAAGTTTGAAGTCTTCTAGAATCAGTATATGAATGTATCCGAGACGATTAGAGCGGGATAATCCATCTAGCATACGATTGTCAAACTCATTGTCAGCAGTGAGCGTCATATAGATGACTCCAACTAGACACCTCGAGGTGTTAGACAGTCTTTCTGACCATCAAACTGATTCCTCAAGATTGATTAGCTCTTGGGTGTACATCTGATATACTACCAAGAAAGATCACAGGTAAAGGGTTACTCCACTTCCATTCCTGTTTATTCTATCGTTGTGATACAAAGACATCCCAGGTACAGCTAGCTCCTGGTCTTTAAACTGATGTTCCTATCAAATGAGTACTATTAGCATCACTTAATTCACGCAACCCAATTGTTTTATTCTGCAAACTCGTGGCGTTTATATATAGGTGATTTATGCTTCCAGTTTGTAACACATGAGCTTCATTGTCCTGTTTATCTGAATGAACCTTATGTGAATGGGCAGGCAACCCACCTACACAGGATTTTTCTGAGTTGGTAGCCCCTGTTCTCTCTACATTTTTTCTATGATCTTGACAAGTAGAATGGTCAGTTCCAAATTGCCTTTGTGCTTGATCCTGGCATCATGTGGCCTATCCAGATGCATGTGGAGTCCAGTTGGTAACCAACGTCCGTCGGGACGATATGCTTCGGGAGTGGCGGCTGCCATATGAGAGGATGGGAAGGTTATATTCATCAACCGGGTTCGACAATCCCCGTCCTTATTGGCTAGTCTCACCACCTGTTGAGTCTATGTTTTTGTTCTTCAAGGACTGCATGATAAATTTCCACTCCTGAATGCCAGAGTTTGTGTTCAGGGTCCGGGTTTCCACGTACACCTAGCACAAAGATGTTTCGTCCGCGCAAAATCTTCTCATGAGGCTACTTAGGAATGTTCCGGATTAGATTGCACTCAGAAAACAGTATGACATGCAGTATTCTTACATCTCCACCAGATTTAAACAATTAAATTGCCGGTAGAACACCCCCTACATCAACATTGTTAGTGAATGTCATACGAAGGAGGCACATATGACATCGGTGCTTGCAATCCTTCCCCAGGTAACACGCCTGGTCGTAGATGGCTAGCTTTTGGTCCAGATAACCATTCAGCCCTTGCTTACGTTGCCAGCTAATAACTATTTACGTCATTTGAAGGCCGTATTTACTAGAGATTGATGCCTTAACAAGTTTATTTCACTGAAGCATGTAAATGCTATTAAAGCTTGTTAATGAATCATCGTAGCTAATAATTAAAGTAGATGACCCATTATTATTATTGATTGAGCCAATAAGTTATGAGTACTAATCAACATTAAAATACGACAATATACGCGAGTAATAATCGGTTGACTAATGGAATGATGGGTTAACATCAATAAAAATCGGTCGGGAAAGTCCAAGTGAGGATAAGAACCGATAAAAGACTGTGTTTCTTTAGTCGGACTTACAAATGTTGAATTATGATCTAGTTCGTTATTACTACTGCTCTAATAATGGAACTAATCTTAAAATTGTAGATTTGTCATGATGTGACTACCTAATGTAAATGATCATACATGGAAGTCACATAATTGTCTATTCTGACTTGTTGTATCGTAACAGTCGGCAATATGGTGTTTAGCACTTAGGAAGAACACAGGCTGGAGAAAGAACGATATATTTAATATGAATAAAAAATTACACAAGAATGACAACGTCTACAAGGCCGAGCCATGCTATCCGATTAGTTGAATTAGTGCTTCCCGCCTCCCCCATTATTGGGTTTTGTTGTGTTAAATGTTGAATAATTATTTTCTCAGTAGTCTCATGTATAACTTTGAGGATTGTTTGAGTAGGTAATGAAATGATTCCATAGACTTCAGCTGATACTCAAATAGGGAAGAGGAAAGTTGTATATTGAATGAGTAAGTAACAGTACTGCCATGACATTGCTAAATAAGACAGGTTTAAAAACCAAACACACTACAGTGTTTGCATTATTGATTGATCATTTTGTTATACAATACTTGGTTAATATTTGGTCTCATTCTCACAGCACTATGAGACAGGTTTCCGCAGAGACTCATTCGCACCGGTTACTTAAATCTTCTCATTGATGTTTTGGAATGAAATCGATCAGTCTCTCTTATTGGCATATGTGCTTCCTGTGAGGATTGTCTCGATATTGCCACTAAATCACTAGCAATATAGATGAAGATGTATGGTGGCTGGCAGAAGAATTCAGGACTCACGTCACGTCGTTCCATATGAGATTCATCAGGTTAATGTTCCTTAATCATAGACTGATGTTCACAACAGTATCCTAAGTTAGTATCGTTCACTTCAAACATCGCGTCATCCCCAAAGCTAGTGAGTTAGATACTCACTGACCTTTACAAAGAGCTTCAATGCAGCATGTAAAGGTGAACACAGATTCGACTAGTTTTTATCTTTTAGCAAGCTGCATTCTCGAGAATCGTATTTTCCTCTTGGTCTTGAGTGTTTTCATTACAGGACAAATGAGCACATTATTTTTGTATGTTACACTACTGCTAATTTCGTTATTAGTGATACTGAACTCTGTTATTAGATCCTAATTAGTTCGAAGCTTCTGTTGATAATATTTCACTTTTATCTACTATTTCGAAAAGTGCTTTTTAGATGTAAAAGTGATCATAAACCTTCTCTGGTTCGTGACTTGGTTTTGGTGCTGACATAGACAGTACACAGTTCATTATTTCGTCAAAAGCTTAATCTTTACGAAGACCTCAGATGTAATTGTATTTATTACCTTTCAAAGAAAATTTTGGTGCGGCAATCGTGGACTTGATAACTGCGTGTGTTAAGTGCTTTGAAGAGGTAATAATTCATTTTTTAACACTGAACATACATTTGTTGAGGCAAACATATACCACAGTTGAATTTGTAGATAATTCTGGTCAAGTTATTTGTCTTAAAGTGTTTTGTAAAAACGATTCCTTTAGATAAACTTTCATTAGCCTTGACAACAATTACCACTTCTTGTGGTTTATTGAAATACAACTAACTTCCATTTTTGTTTATACGAATATTCACCAAGATTAGAATGAGTAGCTTGACAATAGCTTACACAATTTATCCAGTCTTTTGTTTCACATCGCGAACTTGTCACGTGATTCTCATTTAACTGACTCATATTATCCTTTTTACGAAATTCCAGATGCAAATATAGTTGGTTCAACGTAGTATAGAGTTCGATATGACTGTTAAAAACACTAAATATTTCTTTGGTGATTTTGAGTTTTGTTGTTATACTGAAGAAGTCCAACCAAGTTGGCTGGACGAAACGTTAGAATTATTTAAATTTCAATCACTGAGATTATTTCAATTATAATTTTCACATATAAAAACTTCCATTCGGTCTTTGTTTTACGCCGAATAAATACTATAATGCTTCAAGGTGACGTGTCTTCACTGACGGTTGCGTCACTATAAAGTAATAATAGTTGTCTGGGTAAGGTTGTTGATATGCTTAACAGTTGGACAGTTCCCATAACTACTACCACGACGAAAATTACAATCCAAAAATTATTCCAACTTTTTGTTGATAGTGAGAAAATACATTATTCATTGA